AAATCCCAGCAGATGAGCAGTTTCTGAAACGCTCAGACCAGCATGTCTCGCACCATCAACAATGACACATTTAAAGTTCCTTAAATCATCGTTCTTCCTCATTCTAATGCTCAATTTAAACTTCAGAGGATCATCTCGGCCGGGTCTGCCCAAATTCAGTCGCGGCCATGTAATCGGCTGATGAGACGTTTGCATTAAGAAGCACTTGTGTGCTTGTATATCTTTAGCAGCCTCTGAGGTGCATCTCTGCTGCAGAGAGATTCTGTTCAGATGAAACAATAGAAAATAACTCGCATGCTCTTATGAAAGGTTCGCCAAACTGATGTTTTGCAATGTGTCTCGTTATGTGTTCCAATCATGTTAAATTTGATATGTCACACACAAATTCTGTGTCTGTTTAAACAGTAGACAGTGGAGATGTGGCTTTCCCATACTAATATGGTGCTGACGCGTTACTGTAATTAATGGCAGCGGAGTATGACATATCTGTGTGTATATTTCTATGAGCAGGCACAGGGAGCAAATGTGGAAAGTATTCTCCCTGCTTTTAAATTATACAGCGCAACTGGCAGCAATAAATTTAACCATAAGTCAAGCAAGACCAGACAAATATACGCAGCGAAGGAGGGAAAAAGTGAGCTGTTTTGAAAATAAAAAAACAATCAGTGCTGAAGTAAAATCAGTAAGTAGAATAAATTGGCTCTGATGTGTGGCGGACGCTGCCTGAGGATCGGCGCTGTTTAAAATCCCAGAGATCCTCGGTCCTGATAGCCCTTGGCCTTCTTCCAGACGTTACAGAAAGTGAGGTATAAATAGGCTCTGTGAGACAGGTCGGAGAACATCCTCTGAGTTTTCTTAGCTGAAATACACAAGGGGAAGGAGCAGAGGAGGCAAGGGCACGGTTGCAGCTTAGGCTTTGTGCTGCAGTTTGTGCTCTCGTCTCCAGCAGCCGTACCGAGCGCTTCCACTGCTGCGCTGCTGAGAAAGGTGACACTTTTAATTACTGCTCTAATACCGAAGTAGGACAGGTGTTAAAGGATCGCCCCGCCGACACACCATGTTTTACAGAATTAACTGCTGTACAAATCTAGCTTACACTGTATGCTGTCATCTTCTAAAAAACAGCTTTTGTTCACAGCTTCCATATATTTCTGTGACAGTGTGAAGCTGAATTTGAAACTTGAACGTCTATATTTAACAAGTGCTTCTCATCTTTATTAATCACTGGTAGCATTAAAACTGTGCGTGGACTTGAGTAGGACCGCAGCCAGGATCGATCATTTAGTTTACGACCAAGGCAGCTGGCTGCGTCTCTACCATACGTTAACAGGAAGCTGCTTACAGGGAACGAGGATGCGTTTGTTTTGCATGCACTGCTTCCTGCAGCGCTCCTTCACTGACTTCCTGTGCCGCCTTCTCTTTTGTGTGCCCAGGTGACCATCTGGGAGGCGCTGACCAACAGCAAGCCGGGGACTCACCCTCTGTCCTGCGACCCGAGTCGTGTCGAGAGGTCAGAATGAAAGCCTTTGTTTTATTTTGGGGGATTTTCAATGACTCCCACGTGTTTGAGTTAAAGCTCTTTGTTATCGGGGACTTTGTTAGAAAGTCTGATAAAAGCGTCAGTGAATGAAAGAGAGCGGGACTTTCGTTGTCAGCAGCGAGGGGGAAAAAGCCCCCGCATAAATCTCCTTGAGTGCCAGGATGAAGGCGATTATATCCTGCCATCCCTCCACCGCATTGTCTCTGACTTCCTCTCAGCTCTCTTGTGTGTTGTTAATCTTCAGCGTCTCGCACTCCTCTGTGAATTTTTTTTTCCTGTGGTTCTTTCCTCCCATACTTGACTCACATCCTGTATTCCTGTCCCATTCCCTGCTCTATTCTCTTATCCATCCTGCTATTCTCCCCCTCTCCTATCTGCTATCTGAGCTCCAGTGTGTGTGTGTGTGTGTGTGTGTGTGTGTGTTTGTGTTTGCAGAGAGGGGGTGTTGGTGGGAGGATGAGAGAGTTGAGAGAGTTTCCTGCTTTCTCAGTTGACAGTGCTGTAGTTGACTTTAGCCTCTGTTATCTTTAGACAGTGTTTCTCTCTGGGTGCATTCCCTGTTTGCAGATGGCTGGTTGGATTCACAGACTGTCCTATTCTCTTTGTCACTGCCTCCTCCCCAAGTCTTGCCATAGCAGTGTTTACTCGAGTTCTAACCTGAGGGGAAAGTGTTGGACCTATAGACCGACACCAAGAGAAAGTTGCAAAGCTGTAAAAATAAGAACAGAATGCAATCTCATAAACCCAAATGTTACTGTAGAACACAGAAAATATGTCAGATATGGAAAAAATAAGCTAACATCTCAGCAGAGTGGAGGCAGATTGGCTCAGTGGAAGCGGGACTGATCACTAGAGCAGTGCTGTCGGCATCGAGTTTGACAGCGTGGGAAAGAGGAAGTGATGTAAATAACAGACCAGCAGTCAGACACCCAGGAAAGCAGGCGGATCGTCCTTGATGAACTTAAGCATACGTCTGATTTCTAAATGCAGTGCTGCCCGAGGGCCCAAAATCATGGGCCAGTACTGCTTTTCTGCCTTATCCAGAATTTTGGCAAATTGGTGAACGTCTTTACTCATGGGAAACGCTGCCTGTCTTTTTCTACCCAGCCGTCTTACTGACCTGTTACCCAGTTAAACTAATCAGTTGCAAAATGTCCCTCCAGCTGTTTCTTTTTAGCATCACTTAACGTTTTTGGGATGTGTTGCTGTGGGGCATCAAGTTCCACGTGAGCTAATACTTTTCTAAAGCAGTAAAATGTTTAACCGTTTGACATGTTTTCTGTGTTCCACTATAAATAAAGTTAGTGTCTATGAGATTTTCCCAAATCAATTTCCCAAATTGTATTTTATTTGATGCTTTTTTTGGGCATTGGGGTTGCAGAGAGAAATTCTTGGGTGTAGTGTCCTCAGAATGACTTAGCTGGAAAAAAAAGACAGTGACAGCTTAAATGCTTGACTCCAAGATTTCTGTGTCCATCTTTTATATACAGTCTGTGGTAAAAACAGGGTTTTTTTTAGTATTTCGTGATAGAACCGAGCACAGTTACGCATGTCTCGCTGTGTCTCTTCTGAAGCCTTTGTCACAACTTGTTTTTAAATAAAGCGTTTACTAAGACTCCACAATGTAGTCTGCAGCTAATTTGAGTCGATAATAGCTTTCTCCCACCGTTCATCAAATCTGCAGAATGACAGACGGTAATAAATGGAATCAGGACGAGACAGATCCAGGTTTAAGTTCCGGTGAAGCGTTAGATTAAAAGACAAAGCAAAGCGTCACGATGGAAAGATAAACAGCAATCAGAGGAGATTCTCATAACCTGGCAACCCAGACCTCATTCATTATTAATGCATTGTGACTCACAGTGAAAGCATTACTGACTTATCCTTATTATAAATGATGCCTACTGTGCGCCCACTGAGGAGGTTTTTAAACCCGTGTTTCCTCGCCCCTGTACGCAGCACCCCCCAGCACAAGCCCCGCCCCGCCACCAGCCTTTGCTCCACCCCCTCCAAGAAGAAGCCGACCACCTGCAGCTATGACGAGCAGCTGCGTATCGCCATGGAGATCTCAGCCCGGGAGCAGCAGGAGGCGGAGTTTCGGCAGCAGCAGGAGGAAGAGGAGCTGCAGCGCATCATCCAGCTGTCACTCATGGAGAAATGAGCCCCTCACCCCACACCCTCCCTCTGAACCAGGTGGTCCTGCCAGGGTGGGGGGTCTGGACTGAGGGGAGGTGGGTGGAAAAGGGCAGGTGTCCACTTAAAATCTTGGAAATTTAAAAAGAAAACCATCTTAGAGGTAACATCTGAGCTGGCCGTCCCTCTCCTCGCTTCAGCCAGACCCTTTTCCCATGAAGCCATGAGGTGGTTGCGTCTGCCCGGCTTCACAAAGCCAGAGACGGGACGCACGCCTGGTCTCTCTTCTGCCACATTGGCACTTTCTCGACAAGTGCCAGTTTACAACCAACGACACATCCGGTACAGTTTAACAGGAACTCCGTCTCGAATTAATGATTTCTTGGGGGTGTTTTGCAAGCGTGCGTGTTTGTCTGTGCGCGTGTGTGTGTGCGTTTAAAACAAACCAGCTCAACGCACAGAAGGTCAATAAGGTCAACTAAACAGTTCTCCTAAATGTAGTGTGTCAGGCCAACTCACTGCTCCAGCACCTAATGCACACTCACGCCACGCTCCCGTCATCACTGAGCGCGTGTGGTTTTCAGTTCTGACTGCATCGAAGAGCGCAGCGGCGTGGAGAACGCCTTCCTCATTTGAAGGCCGATAAATAATCAGACTTCCTCAGTTTTTAATGAAAATTTTTAAAATGATGGACTAATGTGTTTCTTCTTCTTCCTTTTTTTTTTGATTTGCACAAAATCCAGATGTACTGTACTTGTGGGTGAAGCACATATATGACTGTTAATGGATGTTTGAGTTTGAGCACAAAGTTTAAAACAAAAAAGAAACCCAGGCCGGGGTCTAGTTTTAAACCCTGACGCCGGGCTTTGTAAGGAGCACAGTAATGATGAGACTCCCAGATGAACACTAGGTGTGTACTAACTATACTGTATGTGAAGTAGAGCATTTATTAATAAAAACAGTAACAGGAAATAAGGTTTGTACGTGGATCGTGGGTTAGAGAAGAGTTTTCTCTGTAAATTTGCTTTTTCTCACCTTTCATGAGCTGATGGTTGTTTGTTTTTGTTTTTTTGTGAGTGTGTTTCTGTGCATTATAATATTTCAGCATGGTCTGCACCCAATGGAAGGGGTGGGGGTCTTTTGTGACCTACGGCAAGTTTCACTGAGCAAAGGTTTTTTTAAAAGCTGAAAACTAAAATCCAGTGTAAAATCACCCCTTACATGTTTTCTTAGAAATTGGCAGGGTGCAAATGTAGATGAGCTCTGAGGGACTTGTTTTGTTTTTGTGTGGAGGATGACGAGAGCAGGGACACCTTATGCTCTGTTTTTTTTTTTTAATTTAAATTAAGTGAGAAATGTAAAACTTTCACACTCCAGTATCAGCACAAACTGAGGATACCACCTTCTCTTTTCCTTCTGTAATTCATGGTTCTAAGCTTTCCCGGTTGGGTTAAGAAGTAAAAAAATGCTCCTTTTGTTTTTTACTTTTTGAAAAAATGTTGCAAAACGTTAAAAAAAGCGCGGTGTTTTCATGACGTATGCTGGGAAGTGAATTGACATGATTTAAATAAAGGAAAATCTTTTTTTTTTTGGAGAGCAATGTACAAATGTGTTATTTGATTTTTTTTTCTTAAGCCTTTCAAATGCTCTGTAAATCCCTTCACCACCACCCCACCACCACCCCCACACCACACACACACGCAACAGTTCTTCCACTGTTAAGTTCGTTTCCGTGGTCCTCTCCAGTGGAGGACGGTGACAAAAGCAATTTATTTCATGCGAGATTGGGGAATGCTGCGGCGTCTGTCAGCACCAGAGAGAGCTCATCTGTTTTTAGCAGCTGCCACCTTCATCATCGTCCCTGTGACATGGATTCCCAGAGCTGAAGAAGTCTGATCCAACTGGGTTGTTGTTTTTTTTGTTTGGCTTAAGTTATTTTAGGCTTACGAGGGAGAAAAAAAGGGGAGCAGATTAGAGGCTGTAAAACCTCCAAGAAACAGCACTCAGGACAGAGAAAAAAAGGACAAACCAGCAGTGCGCATTATGAAAAATACCAGGACTGTGGAAGGCACCGAGCTGCAAGCCTGTGTGAAACGAATTTGCAAAGAGCTGCTGATATAAGTCACGTTCAGAGCATCAGTATGCAAAGAGGAAGGATGCCAATCTCAGCCTTTCTCCTCTTCTGCTCCACTGATTTTTATTCCCTCTCCTCATGATAAACACACACACTCGTATTTTATTTGAAAATCCTTCTGCTGTGTCTGCTGAGGTGGATTTAATTGGTGAAAACGTCAGGGGATCTCAGCTTTTCCTCTTGATTCACTTAAACCACCAAAGAGTCTTTTGGTCTTCATATATGGAGCCTGTGAGTTTTGATGTCTTAGTTATCTCCAGCATCTCTTTTTTAAAAAGCAGATTCAGTCCTTTAATGTCAGTCTGTGCCTCGTGTCTGTGTGTGGGTCTCTCAGCAGGGGCTCCTGTGGCCTACATCTCAGTATTTAATTACCCACATGAAACAGTAGGTAAAATGTCAGCCTGAAATAAGCTGCGCTGAACACTGATGGAGATCATTTCCCACTGGAGTTGGCACTGACGTGCTTAAAAGATCGGTTAGTTGTAGTTAAAAACGAGAGGTAAAATGTATTTCTGTTAAGGATGTGCTTTTCAGTCGTTAGAAAAGAAAAGCTTGGTAGTGGCAATACCCGATGTCATGAAATCCAGTTTTAGTGTGTGGATCAGCCTGTCCAGCAGGTGGCGGTACATTTAAAAGCTGGCCTCATTTCTTCGCCTTACATGGGAGTGGCTAAAAACAAAAACTAAGGAGTCACTACAGTTAAAACAAACTCACCACCTTTATTTACTGCTAAAGCAATTAAGTAATAATAATAATAATAATAATAATAATAAAAAACAAAAACAACATATCAGCTTTGTCCTGGTTTAATTAAAAATCTGAATAAAGACATGTCTGCCAGCTTTGAAAACAAAACCACAGAGACAAGTCTACTGAGAACAGTGCAAAACAACAATCCTCCCCGGGGTAAGAAACACGTCTCAACTTTTTTTAAAAAGAAAAAGAGTCATCTAAACAGTAAAGTGCATGGTTTGAGAAACAAAAGCCCCTCTGGTTGGAGTTTTAGAAACTCTGAACAGGCAGCGAGGGTCACACTTAAAAAAAGGGGACACTGATATAAATGAGTGCGTGAGCACCGTTCAGTCTTAGTTTGGACATTCATGACACTGTACAGACGAACCTGAACTCCAGTTCGAACAAACATCCAGTGGTTTCCATGCAAATATATGCTCATCATTCATGTCTTGCATACTATACACATAACACCGGAGAACACACACAGGGGGTTACAGCTGACATTCATACACATCATGCGGTTTCTTTCACACACATAAGCGCAGCTTCAGTCGCATGTGTTCCAGTCTTGCTGATCTGAGGTTACATGGTGTTGTATAGCAGAGTGACGGCTCGCTGCTGCTTCTTCTCAGCGGAAGCTTTGCGAGAACGTCTTGACGAGTGTCCTCTCCCCGGCTGACGGGATGCAGGGACCGTGCTGCTGCTACTGCTGCTGTTCTCTGACTCCTCCCGTTCTCCTCTTTCCCCTCTGGTGGAGGGGGAGAGGCCGAGGGGTGGAGGGGATGTGTCATCACTGCACGAACCTGTTCTTTCAGAGCAGGGCCTCTGAGCCAGCACTTTCTGCTTCTTCCATGTGTCGTCCGGGTGACACTGGGGCGACGAGGGCGAGTCAGACGAGTGCGACAGTGTTGCTCTGTTGTGCGTCCTCAGGTCCAAGCTGCTGAGGTCATGAGCCGACAGCTCCAGACAGTCCAGTTTAGCCAAGGAGGCCGATCTCTTCATGAGAGACGGGGGGGTGAGCCCCGCCTGGCGGATCCGCGCCTCTAGCTCTGTGGCTCTGTGCCACTCTGTTGGCTCCAACAAACTCCTCTGCTCCTGCTTCTCTAGGAGCTGCTGCCCCACTTTCAGAGCCGGAGGGCTCTCTTCAAAACTCACCCCTTTATAACTTTCTGGGTCTGTGTCCATGGCGTCTCTTGGCCCCTGAGGCTGCCCCAGTTCTTGTGCTCGACTGTCTGCCGTCTCGAGGGTGATGCCCTCGTGAAGAAAAGCCTGCAGCTCTCTCAGCGTCTGCTGAATCTTCTCCAGCTCCTGGCTGCCTCGGGCCAGCCTCTTCTGGGCAGCGCAGACGGGGCCGCAGCCCTCTTGCCTGACCCGAGAGCTTTCATCCGTGTCTGACTCCTGCAGCGTCACGCCATCCAGAGTCATTTGGTTTGAACAGTCCTGCAGGTTTTGGCTTTGGAGCTGGCCTTGTCTGAGAGACTGGGCTGAGGTATCTTGAGATGATGCTGATAACTGCTCAGCAGAGGCCAGTGATGATGTCACTGTGTGGCTATCTGTGGATGTGTGCACACTGACAGGTATAGCACCAGAGACTTGGCTGATATCTGACTTTGGGGAACATGAAAGGTCTTGGAGGTCGCTTGTGCCTGAGAAATCGGGTCTTTTGTGTGACCCCGTGTGCTTCTCTTCATCTTTGGATGTAGCATTAGCAGAAACAGCCATGTTCTCTCCCTGAGTGATCCTTTGTTCTGCAGCGTGCATGGGGGAGTGGAGCAGCACGTGTTCGGAGGATACGGACAGTCTGACAGGAGGTTGTTCGCTGCTGGGCGAATGCAGCGGAGACCGCTGACATGCCACCATCTCCAGTTCCTGCTTCAGCTTCTGCTCCAGCTGCTTGGTGGCCCGCCGCACGGAGCCCGCCGGCCAGTCGCACAACAGCGTGGAGGGAGGCTGGGGGTGTGAAGGTGGAGTCGAAGAGGTGTGCGTGACTTCAAAAGACTCCCCCTCTTCCTGATGTTCCGGTCGGATGACCTGAGGACTGTGAGAGGATGGAGGGAGTGGAGAAGATGATGAGGAGGAAGGAGTCTGAAGAGATGCGGCGGGGTGTGATATGGCTTCGATCTCAGTGACAATATGGCGGACTGATATCCCGTTGTCGTGGTGAGTGTGATGAATCCGGTCAGGACTGGTTTTGTCAGAGCTGTCATCAGACTCCTGAGAGACAAAGAGAGGATACAGACTTTATTAGCACAGCCATTGTGAGGCTTTTATTCCAAGCAATGACTTATTAGCTCAGTCCTGTTTACACCAGTTTATACTCTTTTATAATCCACATAATACTACTGACAACTCGTTATAGGAGGAGGTTTGGTCTTGATTATTCTCTCATTGTCCAGCAGGTGTCACTGTGATCAGCTCAATCTATCTGCTACCACACAGTCCTCACATTCACTCAGATTCCAGTTTACTTCCCTCTGATTAAAACTTTAAAATAAAACCGTGGATACTATTCAAAGTTCATTTAAATCTCCTAAATCAAAGGATTTGATAGAAATTTTTACATTTTTCTCTTTACAGCTGATGATGATGACAAAGGTCGTACAACTGAGATGCTATTAAAAAAAAACCAAAAAAAACAAACAGAAAGAAGCAGCTGAATGAAACCTTACCTGACTCATCTCATTCCTCTGCTCCTCCTCGTCTTCGCTGACCTCTGTTTCTCTGTCAGCTGACAGAGACGTCCTTTGCTGTCCCTGCTCTGAAAGCGTCCGATGTCGGCCATCTTTGGCCAGCCCCAGAAACTTCTCCCGGGCGCTGAAGAAGTCGATGCTGTCCGTGCTGTGGGTTGATGACCCGTCTGCCTCACCGCGGGTATCCAACTCGCTCGGGTTGTTGTTGTTGTCGTCGCTGGGAGCGAAAGCCGAGACCGGAGGCGAGGAAGTGGGAGTCGCGGGGCTGAGCGGAGTGTGGCTGTTGTTCGTTAAATCAGACAATGATTGGTTGATCATATCCGAGTCAGTGGATCCCAGAGTGAGAGGAGAGACTTCCTCTGAACTGCTTCTGTCGGGTAAAATCAGGAACAGCTCCTCTGGTTTGGCCACTGAGCAGGACAGATGTGTGGGAGTGTCCCTGTGAGCGCGCTGCAGTTCAGGGGTGGGAGGTAGGATGTGGAGCGATGGTGGTGGAAGTGGAAGAGCGACGGGCACAGTGATGGCCACGCTCGCCGAGCTGCCCTGCTTTTCCTCTGGGACCACGGTGGCTGCTCGGGGTCTGGGGAGGGGAAGCAGGCGGGGGTCTGCGCAATCTGATCTGACCTCCTGAACCAGCGAGTCACACACTCCGTTGGAGAGTGCGTGCGAGTCTTCGGGCTCGGGGCAGAGCGCCTGCAGCACGGCCACACCCAGGAAGTGATGCACAGACGGGGAGGAGGTGTTGTTATTGTGAGAGTCAGCGCGGTTCAAGGAGGGAGATGAAGGCTTCGAGTCCAGGCGATCTGATAGGTCGCTGTCACTGTGGGAACGCCATAGCTTATTATGCCTCTGTTTGCTGAAGAACAAGAGGGAGAGAAGAGTTCGTTAGCTCCAAATTCCTTCTAAGGAACTGTACATGTTTCTGCATGAGAGCACACCTTGCCAGCAGAATTCCCTGATACTCCTCCAGCTGCTTCATGAAGGAAGGGTTCGGCTTGGTGACGGCTCGTCTTTCCTTCACATAGTCAAAGGCGGTG